TATATTTTAAAAAGAGTTGATAAACTAAATTTATTCTGATGTTTTGCAAAAAATAATCTAATTACAGAAAAATAATAAAATACGATAATCGTTTCTTTATAATGTAGAGTATGGATTTACATATTTAATATTCTGATAATTAAAAATTTCAGCTACATTTTCAAGTCAAATGTTTTATAATGAAATATCGGCTACTTTATTCAATAAATTTTAATAGTTTATCTCATAAAAGTATTAAACGCATTCTTTCAATTAATTATTGTTTTTTGTTGTTTTTTTTTCAACCAATTCAGTGCAAATGTTATTGCTGAAGTTTCCATTATTTGAAAACATTATTTTTCAGTATTGTGTACAAAAGATTTTTTGGTTATTAATAATTTTATAGTGTTTTAGTGGTCGTGACAAGCTGTTATTACTAAATTAATCATGGCTTCCGTTTCATAAACACATAACTGCGCTTAATAATGACTACTGCTTTCCTCCGAAAAGATGTAACACAATATACTATTCTTTTTGCCTCTCGAATATTTTTTCGAGCACATAATACATCACGTAGATGAAAATATGACACATGCTATGGCAAATTATATATGTACATGGAGTTATCGATATTGAAATTCCGTCAGAACGATCAATAGTTTTGCCAACCTAGCAACATCAATTTCTGCACTTTAGCTACATTTATAAAGCAGCTTGAAAATAACTTTGAAACTTAGAATTTCGTTGATATTCGTATGTAATAATGCACATGCCGCCTTAAATTTCAATTCATACAATTACATAAAATATTATTAATGACTATCGTTCATATCTTAATATATTACAACATTATTGCTGATTTGTTTTAAATTAAATTTAAAACTAATATTACGTCTTATTGATATTTATTATGTACAATGAATTATTAAAATTAAAAAGGAATGAAATATTAGGAGACTTACGATGTAATGCCGAATAAAAGAATTTTTTTTTTTTTTTTTTTTTATAACAATAACTTAAAACATTTCTTTTCACGTAAGCAGATATGTAATTATTACCTTAAAAAGCCTTTTTTTTCCTTTAACAAAGCTAATTATATATGACTCGTTGATACGTTGAGAGAAATTATTTGGTAGAGTCAAGTTCATAGTTTAAAAAAAAAAATATGTTGCGTAAGATTGGAGATGAATAATACTTTGATGCGGCTTAATCATGGAAATTGCCTTCAAGTTGAATATTTGGAGCTATTAATTTTCGCTATTTCTCTAATTTAGCTTAATACATTACTCACAAGAGTTTATCGAAGGTAAAGAAATAGATGGACTGACTTACGGTTAAGCTATATACTTTTAGCTTTTCACAGAAGAGAAATTTTGTAATTACATAAGAATGAAAATGACACGTACAGGTATTGCGAATAAGTTAGTTTGCTCAGTGTTATTGGTAATAGTCTTCATTTGCGAATTATGAATGCATATGGGATTTTGATATTCTTGGCTAATATGCGCCTTAAACATTACATTGATTTTTAAATAATGAAAGATAATTCGATAATTGTTAAATTGGAAAGATAGAAACTAGTGGATTCTAAACAATGTAAATGCAAAAGTAAATTATATATATATATATATATATATATATATATACGCATATATAGGCATTATTTACCTTATTACAATAATATTAATAATATGCTTTTAAAATCATGTGACAGAGAAATAATAGAAATATATCGTTGATAGAAAGATTAAATGTGTAAGATATCTGGGATCTAGTGTAGTTGGAGATGAAGATTAAAACAAATGTGAATTACGTCTATCGATAATGTATGGCTGAGTTGATTTCATCTCAATCCGCGCACACATATGTGCCCAATAAATTTTCAATGAAAAGTTAAATAACATCACGTACGAATACGTTAACCTATTACACCGTCAATAATTATCCTAATTGTGAAAATTTTTATAACATATATTGTAACATATATTATCGGCAATAAAGATTGAATGGAAGGAGGGAGGGCGAGTAGAATACAATAGAAAAATAATGAATCTTCAATCGATATAAATTAATGTAGTGAGGAAGATTGCAAGAGTGGTTGCTGCAACACGAGTAGTGCCAAGTACTTGAAAATTATAATATAAATGAGAAACTTAGTGCAGATAAAGGGGCGAGGCAGCGCCATACGCACGGGCTGAGATAACAAAGACGTTGATTACGTGCGCGGGAGGAGCTCCTGATTTTCCATAGAAGTGCCAGTCGCCACGAGAACGGCGTCTCATCTCCGCTTATCCAATTATCCTCTGGGAATTTTCCGATGTGGCTGCGCGCGCGCGTGTCCCGCATTGTTCGTTAGGTTTACCCTCCGCCATCGAGAAAGTAAACCACGTATGAGCGCACAAATATGAGCGCGGAATTCGCACGCGGTGGAGCTTCGTTTTCCTCCTCTTCGATCTCCCCCTCTACACCCTTGTCGTGTGCCCCCGTCGCCTCAATCCCCTTCACCAGCTGCCCGTTCTTAGCGTTCGCGGGAGCAGCGGCAGCGGCTCGCGGAAACGCTCGATTTGGAGCGAGGACATTGCGTCTTGCTTTTTTCCTTGGCTTGCGCGCCGAGGATGGGGACATTGTTGCGAGCGCTTACGTCGGTGCGATTTTCTCAATGGAGGATGCCTCTGCAGCACGGGCCGACGTAACGGTGTAAAATAACAACAGTATTTTTACAAGTCATCCATTAGCCACGCGTACGAGCGGAGATGTTTGCTACCGATGAGTTTTGCTTACGCCGTCGCTCCTCCTCCTCCTCCACCTCCTCCTTCTTCTCCTCCTCCATCTCCTCGCCATTAGGAATCGCGCGATCGAGCTTCGCTCGGCTGCCTTACGCGAATCGTTGCTATAATCAAAAACTCTTTTTCTCCTTATTTCATTAATGTGACGGCATGCTTATTGGAAGGGACATTGAAATTTGGCGTCATGCTGTAATAGTGAGAATACGTGATTATCGGATGCTGATTAGTACGTCCTAACAGTTTTTTTTATTTATCTATTTTACATTGCTCTTATTATTTACTTACTTACTCTCGACTTTGCGAAATGTGTGTTTAACGTTTAAGGGAAATATTATTCTCTTTAAATTAGCTACTATATATACCTGTACCTAACGGCTGAATTTTTTTTATTCTTAATATGTGGCCAATTAAATTTATATATTTATGTACAATAAGCGATAAATTACCGGCAAACATTGTTTGGAATAAAGTTATGTGAAAGAGGTACCAAGAGATGGCGATAATCATTTTATTTACAATGTGGACTTGCTCATTGTAGAAAATTTTATGATGTTAATAGAAAAATTTTTTTTTCATTTACTATAATTATAACGTCTTTACAAGTTGATTTCTATTTATTGCCAACGTCATAATAATTACACTTGATATAGATCAGTCGAGGCTGAAAAAAATCACGTTACCAATTATAATATTATTATCAACATTACGGTTAAAGTATTAATCGTAAGTTAAATTATCCCATTGATTTGTTTTATTTTGTTTCTTTTTTCTTTCTTTTGTTGCCGTTGTTATTTTTGTTATTTTTGTTATTTTTGTTATTTTCGTTGCTGTTATATTACAAAAACGCTTTGACAAGTTTATTATTAATATAAAAATAAATGATAATAATTCTTTTATTGAATTTCGACAGTTGCTACTCCTATTGTTATAATTAACAGCTGCATAATACTTTTACGTATTATTTGCTATTGGAAGCAATACAATTTCAATGTTGCTACAAATATGCATTTTTTTATTATTTAATTTATAAACAATCGATAATACATTATTCGCCATTGAATTTAAAATAGACGTTTAACAAAGGTTACGAAATATTCATGGATAGATTTAATAAAAAAATTCATCGTAGCTAACCGAACAGCTCATTGAAATTTCATCAGCGATTCGTAAAAGCTTCCCCCAACAATTCTAAATCGCATTGAGTATTGTATTCCTTATCTTGCTCTTTTCACGATATTGTTTTCCTTTCTCTTTTTTCTTCATCTTTTCTTTTTTGTTTTTGGAAGATTAACACGATTACGGTAATTAAAACCTGTTTATCCCAATCTTTTAATTTATATTCAAGATTTATAAAGTGTGCGCTTTATCGACTATATCGACTATTGCAATCGAAATATCGTATATTTTTCGTGGAATCTCTTAGTCGGAACTGAGGTTAGTCATTAATTCGGAATAACAGGGGCAATTAATAATCCGAACACGGCATACAAGCTCTTGTGGGTTTAAAAATTCAACAATTAGCGTCGAGTATACACGGGCGGGCAAAGTAGTTGCAGGATAAATCAGACGGCAGGCATGGAACTTTGCATTTCGATAAATGAATTTTCTTTCCAGCGCCAACCATTAATTCTAGAATAAACGCCGACGTAAATCGGTCAACGCGATCATCGGGCCAACTCACGTACGGCGATCTCCATATCCGTGGCGCTGCTACCCAAAAGAAGAAGCCACAAAGTAGCCGGCGATCGATAGGCGCTCCCGATCCCTTTATACCGTCCACGAGGTAGGCTTGGCCCTTAGGAGCGAAGAGCGCCAGGATAAGTGCGTCCAGCTCAATAATCAAGGATGAGAGAATCGATCGATCGATTCGAGTGAGACCGAATAATGTACAGATCGAATGGATTCGAAGAAGTTGAGGGCAAGGAAAGGCCGGTTTGATCGCACGAAATTGAAAATAACGAGCGTTGCCGGCGAGCGGATAGAAAGGACTTTCCCGAAATATTCGTGGGGCCTTTCGTCTGCCCCACCCCGCTGCCGCCGCCACCGCCGCCGCCGCTTTAGCAGCAGCAGCAGCAGCAATCGCTGCCACCACCGCCGCCGCGGGCAGGTTTCACCGGGGACGGCGAACGGGGACAGAGGAAAGCAGGTGGAGGGGCGTCGTCGCCGGAGTAGGAGAGGCGGTCTGGCACCTGGATGACTTCCTGCCGGCGCGTCGGCCTCAGTCTTGGAGGACGCAAGCGAGGAACGCCACGCGCACAGCCGACTCTCGCCGCTCGGATTATGAGCCTCGCGCGCCCCTACGAGTGAAGCACCCGTGGACGAAGACGAGCCGAACTCTGGTTCAAGATCGAGCTCAGGGCTTGGGATTGCGAGGAACGCTCGAGGACAAGCTCGGGGACAAGCTCGAGGAAGCTCAAGGAAGCGCTACGAGAGGACGAGGATGCGGCCGAGGAACGCGTGGGGCTTCGCCCTGCTGGCGCTCGCCCTGGTAGTCCAAGGTGCGTTCCCTAGACAGTGTCGATTCGCGTTGTGAAAATATTACGGCCCTCGGCGACGAGTGACAACAGTGACGCGAGGACCGGGGGGGGGGCAGAGCCCCGAGTGCGCGTCCTATCGCTTTATACGGCGCTCGCGGGACCGTTACGCGTTACATACACCGGTCCACCTGTGCCTGCGCGTCCGACTACTTTGATTAATTAAGGGCCGACCTCCCTACTATCTACTTAGATTGCGTGGAAGCGTCTGGCAAAGGACGACGGGGAGTGAGGCTGTTGGATGCTCGCCTACATTGGCGAGGGACTCACCAACGAAATGAGTTAATTACGGACCGGAGATTATTCGTTACGTTTCCTTAGCGTTGGCCGGCGCGGCGCCTGGCCTCGTGTCTGTCGCCGTGAAGAATCTTGGGAAGCCACGGAGGGTGGTTCTTTCATTAATTGCCAGTGCCGAAATTGTTTCTCTTTAATATTTATATTCGCGTGTCGGATGTCAGCAACAATCGTTTGTTTGTCTCTTTTCTTCATTCATCATCTTCTACTTCTTCTTCTTCTTCTTCTTCTTCTGTTTTTTTTGTTTTCTTTCTTTCTTTTTTTTTTTTTTTTTTTTGGTTCTTATGTGAGGTAGCCGTGGGAGGAGAGGCATCGACTTTTTTTCTCGATCACGTAGCGCGGGGACAGGGAAAGTGTCACGTTTCAATGAACGAATTGTCTTTCGATTTCGAAATAATCATTTAAATTCGGGACTTCTGAACTCTCACAGCTTTATATTATTTTTTTAAAATAAATTATCGCTTAAGTGGTTGAATAATTCATACAATATATATTGGCGATAATTGTTTTTATCGATTATGAGTTTGTCTATAATTAAGATTCATTATTAAAAAAAAAATTTCACTCTAATGTCAATAATTCAAGCACTTAACAATTTTTTAGGTATCCTCGTGACTCTAAGCATACTTATAAATTATTGGTATTTTAATAATTGTTTTTGAAGTAGAAATTGTAATTTACTGTAATCGATTGTGAGATGAGAAAAAATATCCGATACAAATCTGTAAAAGTTCGTTATCGAAGATTTGTTCCTATTTTATTATTATTAGAATGACCACCAAAAATAGCAATACTTTGGCAAAGAATTTAATATACGATTAACGTTAAATTTATTATTAAGAGAAAGTCAAGATATTTTATATTAAACATCCGGTACTAATCCTTCAATGTATTTGTCTCTCTCCATAGTACTCTTTTCAATTGTTATTAAGACTAACTTTTGCTTTGGTATTGTTTTGTTTTTTTGTAATCAGTCTTGAAAATCATTCAAGTATGAAAGTACCGGATAAATTTTATATAGTATATTTCTCGATACTTTCTTTGCATAAATTATCAATCTTAACAAACATAAATTTCTTATGAAGTTTATGAAATTGAAACGGATAATATAGGTATCTATCTATCTATCTATATATATATATATATATATATAGACATGTATTTGTAGTATATGTTTATAATATCATACTTTAAGTTTGCATTTAAAAAAAAAAAAAAATTATCTTATGGTTTATTGATGGAGGACATCAGAAAGCATTTACATCTCTTAATCGATCATTACCATTTATGATAAGGATCAGAAGGTTTGATGTCGTTAATTGATGTTCCTAAAGACAATCATATATAGTTACTGCAACTTCAGAGTATATATTGCTTAATACACGCGTTTAAAAACAAATTAATGTATAACTATTTGTAAATATTATAAGCTTTTACAATTTTTTTTTTGGCAATTTTGAAACAAAAATTGACTATTTACTCCGCTTACGGCATTTTCTATTTAAATTACCTTAACAAACTCATTTTTAAAGTTGTGTACATATTCATCTAATCGTCCATCATATTGTATGTGTAAAAAAAAAAAAAAATTGATGTCACGAGCAATGCAACAAGTAATCAATTTAAAAAATTTCATTCGTGTAAATGTTTTTGTAAACGAAAAGTGTTTGAACATTACTCTACTGCGAAAGTTGATACTAGTTCCGCTTTTAACTACATGTATTTACATATATGGCTACTGCAGAAACGGTATTTTCTCCGTAATATTCATTCTATTCTTTAAAGTACTGTTCAAACCACAACACTTTTAAAATTTTTAAAACCCATAATTTCCAAATGTAAAAATATGAAAACCTGCAATATTTAGTGGTACAGTACTTTAAAAGTCCATATTTTCGAGTGTTTTTAATGCGTTGTTCTTTTTATGATTAATGTGAATTTGAAATTTAATCGTTCGTATAATTGAAAATAATAAATATATCTATGACGAACGATTTATATTACAACTTAATTTACAACAATTTTTCAAACTAATGCTACACGTCACACATCACACATAAAAATAGTCTTAAATACTGATTATGAATAATAAATATTCTTAATATGTCGGCTATTTAAAGAAAAAGCTTAATTATTATCGTTGAATAATGAAATTTTTATAATGAAAATGATAACTTAATGGAGAATTAATTCAATCATATATAAAATATTAAAATGAAACATAAATTTTAAAAGTTTAGAAAGCGAGTGCTCAGTAATTTAAAAGTGTACTGTGTAACTGCCTAGGAAATATATATTAAGCATTACCCCAAAACATTTTCAAATGCAAATACAATTAAATGTATTACATGCAAAGGATAATTATTAATGCAAAACGACCATACGTACAAACCTGCGTAATCGTTTCGAACAAAATAAGCCGAAATTCACTTTAATTCTGCCGCATCTACGTGCACAATTTATTTGTATGCGCATGTACATAGTGTATAATAATCTTTAAAAGATCTCCGACATTCCGTGAATGAAAAATTATCATCATCGTGTAATCTTCTCGCGGCTCCTCACTAAATTATTTGAGACCACGTAGTAATAATCGACAATTTCTTTCTTCACCCGATTCACTATATGTACGCAAGTAGCACGTAAATATGTACGAAAGAAACGGAGAAAGCGAAATAATTTTACGAACCGTCCCGCGATATAAACACATCAGTAACAATGAGCCGAGATACGGAAAATTTTTTTGTACACGCGGTTATAAATACAAAATTACATACATACATACATACATACATACATACATACATACGTGCATAAATACATACATACATACATACGTGCATACGTGCATAAATACATACATACGTGCATACATACATACATACATACAAGCATACGTGCATACATGCAAACATACATGCATACATACATATATATATATATATATATATATATGAATACATTTACTATGAACATGCTTAAAGGAAAGATTTGAGATAATGGAGATTTTTAACTGATATTAATACAACTTCTTACATAAGTATTTTATTATATAAATGATTTAATAAAGAAAACCTTCGATCTTTCGTTCAATCCGATTTAATCAATCATAAAGTTTTAAAGCTTTGACAGAGAGTGGCAAGGATTAAAGCTTAGGCATTTAACATGTATTTTAACTTTACATGACATTAACATTGAATGCTCATTTTTCTTTTCACTAACATTTTTTTCTAATAATCATAAAAATTTGTTAATCAGAGAAATGCAAAGCATCGTAAGGCATAGAATTGTCGCCGAGAAATAATCTGCATTCGCATAAACATTATTTTGTATTCTTTTGCGATTGGTGCTAATTTCGACATATAACGGATCGCGAAAGACTCTTCAAAAACAAACAAACAAACAAACAAACAAACAAACAAAACAAACGAAAAAAAAAAAAATAGAAAAAGAAAAAAAAAAAGAAGAAAAAGAAAAAGACGTTCACGTAAGAAAAATGCAACAAAAGACGGTGATAAAACTTGGAGAAAAGGAGTCCCGTATCTCTAGCCCTTGGTAAACGTTTCAAACGGTTAAAAATTAGCCAAACAGCGAGCGCCTGCAAATTTGAATATCCTTAACGTTAACGTCATTACGATGCATGGCGAGTGCAGGCTCAAAGGCAACACGAATGCGCATTCTAATGGCAATCCGTCTTCCTTTTTCCGGCCGTCCTCGTCCCTTGGCTACGACCTAATCGAACGAATCGGCTGTGCCGATCGTATGTAATGGGGCTTCTTGTGTTTAATGCGAACTTGTGTCGACTGGCGCCAATTTAATTCGTGCTTGGGGTTTTGCGGTATTAACTTCAAAGCCACTTTCGATTGTTCAATTCGTATTTTTGACGGGAGCCGGTGCTGCCTCGTTTCTTATCCCCGCGCAGCGAGACTTCATTTTATTTGCTATGATTTCGATCTCTAATTTTCCCGACTTGCCTTTTTTTCACTTTTTAAGTAATAATAATCACGGGACGTTTATCTTGATGGTAATTTAACGTGATGTACATCCGTTGTAATATTAAGGCTTTTCGAAACTTTATTTTCCTCCTCTGACTTTATTTTTTCTTTTTCTTTTAATATCCGATATGATATTTATCGATGATAATAAAGACTTCCATACGATTGCTAATCAAACAATAGTTTACTTTGATAATATTGTAATACTTCGATACAGCCTCGAAGTGTCGAAAAATCGATGATAATTATCTTAGGAAAGTTATGCCCCGTTATTATGTAATCTAATGCTCTCTGGTATTTAAAGGATCTCTAGCGAAAACAAAATTTACTGCATCTTTATATCCGTTAATTTTTTTTAATACTACACGGTTAAACGCATTTGCTCTTATAATGTTAAATTCATTAGAAAGTTTTTTAGAATTTAGAAAGTGAATATACTTTGTGATAAATAATTCTTATAATTAAGTATTGATGTAGCTTAAGAATTTTTTTGTATATTTAAAGTGTATTTATATTTCCATAAAGTAAGGCAAAAATTTTGTTTCGATCGAAGAAACATATTTACGGTTATTTAGTAGTACTAGTAGTTGTTATTGTAACTTTTAATATTTTCCTAAACTACAGACCACGTAATAAAATGTAAAACATTAGAAAAACATAATTTCTATTTTAATT